TAAAACATTGCTGGAGATTAGTCATGCATTTATCATGCTAAAACCGATTTCTTTCCGAATAAATAAGTATTTTTTTAGAAGATAGATATTCCTAAACAAACCACAGTAGTCGGTTAAATTATTAATTTACACGTTGTTCCGTGCAGTGTTAATCCACGATTTAACTGGTTGTACAAATAACATGGATAGCGATTGAATGTTAAACGTCCACGTCGTTCCACACATTTTGAATCGCTTTGACTTCTACGACAATAACACGCAGTCAAGCGACGAATGTGTTGGTAAAAATATGCGAGTACTTGTAGTACCGTACCTGTCTTATATAATATATCCATTGGGAAACTCGGCTATGTCGATTTAATTGGTTAATTTACCAATGGGTTATTACAATGAAACATATTTTACCGAACACACTGCTATTGGCTATATTGTTGCGGAATGCGTGTATTTTAATAATTACTGACTACCGTCAATCCCCTCATTATGAATATTACTCGAATCCTAAGAACAGCAATAATTACTATACACGACTTCAGAGTATTTCGTTGGTTGGTTCGTGGAAACAATCGTCGACTTACGATCGTGTTTAATAATCTATTAGTTATGTGTATTGCTCAACGATTGCCAAAACATGAGCATAGGTACCAGTAGTTGTACATAATAGGCAACGCACTGCAAGTCGTAGCGCGTAAGTACGTTACTACACAAGATCAGTTATTCATTATTCGGTATTTTAACAAATTTCAAGGTTTCTAATATAATTTTTTCTTTTATCGCCCAGCCATTAAGACATATTTTTCTTACGCGTTACGAGTTTTTGAAATTCATGATAAAACTGATGATCGTTAAAAATCGTTAACACGTAATAGATACTACTACCGAATACCATTGATATTGTTAACTACACGTTGCCGCTTAATTGTATTCAAAAATATTATCATTGTCGTATTACTTATGATATGCAATTAGATTTTTTTTTCTATTTCGCATACACATAAATAAAGTATTACAAATTCAAAAACCACAAACTGTTGTCGTTATCGTTGCAATTAGTCATAATTTTTATTTTTCGCAATCTATTTAAACACGAATAAGTATTTATCTTCGATAAACGAGTTAATAATATATGACTACATGTACTTTTTAAAATGTTCTTAATTCGTTGTATTTAGCACCTATCCGAAATTTAAAGTAATTAAAAAAAAAAAAAAATTTAGCTATAATTTATGTCTATATTTGGTCATTTAATAATTTTATAGATTACGAGAACATAATATACGCGCGTAGTATGACATAATTACCTCAAAATATTTTAATTGGATAATTTGCAAACGTTATTATTCTGGAAAAATGTTTTATTTTAATTACTTAACTTAAATCAAAATTATGTTGCTTATATTTAAAGAAACAATTATGTAATACCTGTTAAAGTATACCTACAAGTTACCAAAGGCTTTGATTTGTGAACGAATATTAAATCTTGCAATAGTTCTACAGGCATACTATAGTATACGTATAAATGCATTCATAACTTTTAAAAAAGTAATTTAATTTTCTCTCCTCTAGAGAATGTATAAGTTATTGTTATAATAGAAGTATTAAAGTATAAAAAATAAATTAACAGGTCGGTAGCGTTTAAGAATACCAAATGACCCGACCTCTGTTATAAAAAAAGTTCTTTATGCAACCTACAATATAGCTTCACGTACTTTTTATGATTCATTTTTTCCGTTTGAAGAAATACGTATACATACGCGGTAGGATTAGGTATTACCCACTTTTATCATCGTTAAAAAAAACTTCTATATACATTTTTAATATTTATTAATTTTTTTTTTTTCTATTAGCAAGATAACTTTTTCATTCATTCAAAATAATTCGTCTCGGGACATAACAATAAACGTATGCGTGTCAAATATCAACCAGCATGCGACGCTAAAATCTTTACATGAATATTATTCACATTTACAATTTATGTATTTGTTAATTTAAAATAAACCTTGTTCACGAATTGACTGTCGTAGGTTAGGCCAACTAAATACGTCGATGCAGAAAATGAAATCACGAATGTATTTTTTTCAGCTTAAATTATTTTCATTAAATCTTTCGGAATAAATTGTAAACAATAGAATTTTTCAATAAAAGTACCGGAAACAAATAATTCGTTTTTCCGGTTTTCTGCTATACTTATTTTAATATTTGTAATAAAATATTAAAACAATGAAACACGCATTGTACTCGTGCTTTTGTAGTTTTGAGCGTACACGTTGACATACATTTCATTAATAATGGTCCCTTTCGAATGTTGTTTTTGGACACATTCACATTATTATTAGTGTATTTATTGATTCCATCGTAGAATTGTACCTATATTGGCTGTAACCGATTATGGTCTTACAATTATGGTCTTTGACAATTTTTACATGATTGTTGTATTATCAATACGCATAAACTGCAGTTTACAAAATTAAAGTTTAGTAGCCATTTTTTTATTATTTTATTTAATAGTTTGTCACACTTTTTACGAAAATAATTAAAAACTTTAATTTATTTCTGTACACGTTGGATCTCTATCGCTTTTAATTATTTTTCAACAAAATTCCATGAACGTAACAGAAAAATGAACGTTTCTTAATATTTTGTGATACTTGTACATTTACAATAATTGTTAAACCCAATGTTTATGTACATTAACAAGTTTTATAATAAACTTATTATCTCAGTTAAGAACCGATAAGAAATTTATGATTTTTTTTCATGTCTAGGTATTGTCAAATTAATGTCAATATTGGGACTTGCATTATAAATAAATTGTTTTCGTTTTTATTTTACGCATGAAATAAAATAAATTTCAAGTAGAGATGTTATCAACTGGTCAAACGCACATTTCTTAATTTCTAGCCAAACGTAATGACATTTAAATTAAGCTTAGAGGAAAAAAAATGGACATAAATTATTTCAATATTGAGCACTCGTTTTTGCTCCACTAACTCCGGTATAGGTACTTGTAAAATTATTTATTTTTTTTTAATTCAACTCCAAACTATAGGTAGTGACACATATTCCATTTTAAAACGGAATCAGGTTTGTCCATAAAACGTTAAGTTTTTTTTTTTATAAAACCGATCAATATATTTACTTATCCAACGTTCATATATGTTAGAAAATGTTGCTCATGGTTTAATGTTTTGGCAAACGTTAATTTAACATTTAAACAGCATAAAAAATTCTTTGGTTTTTCTGTTAAATGGTATGAAAGTTAATATGCAGGTAATAATAATAATAAGATTTTAATTGTTGACCGACCATAATACCATAATATACATCAGATATGCGTTAACAAACTATGCCATTTTGCCTAACCCAAATAATACTTGGACCTTTATTGAATTTTAATTGATTTACAATTATTGAGGCCGTTCAACGTACAATTAATAATTATTAATTACCAATTTACAATTACTATTTCATTTTAATTTGATCAGGATATTGTGTTTTTAATGTTTCTTCATTTACTGTCCCGGTAATTTGAATATTAATTTAATTATTAGTCGAACTTTTTTGTGACAAACCGAAAGACAAAATATATTCACTTGCATTAGTTTTTTGCGAAGGCTGAACGTTGAAAAAATCTGTTCCAACATAAAACGTACGCTTACATGTTATGCAAAAAAAAACACTTTATTAGCACGCGCGCCTTTCTCCCGTTGACAAGAATCTTAAACGTTTGTACACACACGCATACGAATGATACGTAATTTGTACACGAAGTAGTTATCTCCGAGGTAGGAATAACTCGCCAGTGGAAAACGACAGGAATAACATTTCACCCGGTCAATACGCACTGCCCACGTTCACTATCGATAACGGTCGTGCCATTAATAATTAATAATTATTAATTAATGGCCGCGATTCACAGTGTTGGTGGTATTACAACACGGTGGATTCTCTTGTGCACCATTATTATGTTTTGAACACATGGTTTCTGCACCGACATGGATGATATTGAATTATATCCGGTGTTGGGTATTAACTATTTTATCGAGCGGTAATGAAATAGTTTCGTTGCTGGTGAAATCTAAAACAAGACAATCGAACGATCCGTTACTACTCTACGCTCGGTGCACCGGGCAATAATTTCTGTTGCTGAAAATATTCGATAAAGTCTTATTTCAGGTGGAGCGGCACCTACATTCGCAGGCGAGTTTTCGGTCGTTGGACGCGCCGAGTTCGTGGCTCGGCCGGTTGGCGAGCGGGCATTCCGGTGGCACGTTAGACGCTACGGAACCTACGAGGTCGCCTTGACGACACATTCGGCATCAAAACACACGCGGTGAACACCGACAAAAGGGACTGCACTCGCGTGACGTTTGGGCGCGCGTACCGATGTCCAAAACGGTAAACGTGACGCGCATTAAAATACGGTCGCGCGATCATACCGTACAAGAATTGGTACGCGTTGACAAATAAAAACGACGGAACGGTACGGCAACGACAACGGGGGAGCGGACAAAAGACCGGCGCGCCGCTTGGCAACATCGGACACGGGGCCCGTCCGCCGGTGCGCGGCGTACCCGAAAACCGGTCTTACAGGTGTGTCGGCCACCGTCGGACAGGTATCCGCGGGGCGGCGATGGAGCGGCGGAGAAACCCGGCGCGGTAGGGGAACGACGGCAACGAGTTTACCGTGTGCGCGCGGAGCGGGGGCTGGGGAGGGGGGGGGGATGCGGTGCGTGCGTGTGTAACAGTGTAACGCAACAATGTTGACTCGGGAAAAGGTGAGTCACACTAGGCGGCCGTGTTCGTGTACGTGCGCGCGTTATTGTTGTTGTGTACCTGCCGCTCGCAGGTTGCCCGGTGAGCCGGTACACCCGTGCCGCCGCCGCCGCCGACGACTCTTCGGTCTAGTGGGGGAGTGCAGCAGCACCGGCGGCGGTAAGAGGACGGTGGTGGCCGCGCGCGTACCTATAGCGCGCGAAAAAAAAAATAAAAAAATAAAAACATTCCTCCGCGCACTACGTTCTCGTATCGCGTCACGCGCGCAGCGATGGTTGTTCGGCCGCGAGTCTTCGGCCGCTGGTGCAGGTTCCGTCCGGACAGGTTACCGCGGTAACGATCGTCACCGTCGCCGTCGCGTCCACCTGCGGGTGCCGTCAGTTTCTCTCCGGCTCGCGTACGTTCCCGCGCGCTGATATCCTCCGTCCACCCGAGGGTTGTTGTCCGCGTCGGCGTCATAATGTCCGCGGCCCGCGGGTTGTCGCTCAGGAAGCTGTGCGGCGAGAAGGTGTGCCCCGAGTACTTCATGTGCCTGGACCACGACCTCCAGTGCTACCCGTGCCTGTCGTACTGCAACGAGACGTCGCACAACTACGACGCCAGGATATGCGAGCAACAGTGCCAAGGTAAATCGTTACGCCGAGGGATGGAAACACGTCGGGACGTAGGATTTCTCGCCGTGTCACGGGTTCGAATTCGAATTATTTAAATAATGTTCGGTATATCGGTTGGATCGTGTATCCGAGACATCAACGTGACGTTACGCAGTTTTACTCGGTTCTCCCGGTCCGCGTTGTGTTGTTGTTGTTATTGTTTTGTTATTTTTAATAACGTGAAAGTTTCTTTGTACGCGCGCCGCGAAATACCGCCACACCACTCCGAGGTTAACGCTTTTACGTCGCATATCCTTTCCCGAGTGCTGCAGTACTACGTCCTTTCTCAGCGACATAACGAGAACGATGAAACGAGGACGTGTTCGCACTTCGATGACCGGTTGGCGAGAGGGGAACAATGTCTTTTTACCGTACTCGGTGAAAACTTTCTATTTCGTGTGGTCAAAATACACGCGATGTGTCGGTATCCCACTCTCAACATTTTGAACAAAGTGATTTTTTTTCGAATACAGCCTACACTCTTAGGTTCTATCGAAAGTAATATGATTTAATATTAATATATTTTCAATATTCCAGCTGACGTTTTTCTCATCGTTCTAATTCGAGTTTTTGTCCCGTATCGATCAACAATCCTGTATTCGTTTGATCATATAATTCCGTTTTTATACATAAGTCATAGTGGCGGACGCAGGGAGGGGTTTTGGGGGTTCAAACCCTTCCCGAAATCAATGTATGATTAATTTTAAACGTAGTTATCCCACCTTATGTTCCTAGAAAAAAAATTTCTGTTATGAAAAATGAATTTGTAATAATTTGTAATTTTCCAAACGTTCTTAAAGGTATTGGTACTTAAAACTCAAATACTTGATATTCCATGATGACAATACTTCGTAAAAATAATGCGTGTTTGTAAGTCGCTTATTATCAGTAAGTCAAAATAAGTAAATATACGTAATCGATATATTATTTTTTACAATGGTACATTATGATTGACGGTTTCCCTAAATTTTGTGTTGTATGGTCATATGATAACGATCGACAATAGTCAATTGATAGTCAATAGTTAATTATTTCAAAATAACGGTAATGAGGCCCGTATTTAGAGCGGGCACGAGTTAGACACATGTCCGGGGGCGTCGAGTCTCAGGGGCGGAAAAATATTTTAGCAAAATTAATTTTAAAAATGAAAAAATAAAATAGTATGTTTTATTATGTTATAATTTGTTTAATTTGTTAATTAAAAAAAGTATCAAACGATTTTCATTTATAAATTATATTTTAATATTAAAGAATCTTGATTATGGACGAAATAATAAGTGTTATATTATTATTATTTATTTTTTTTTGGGGGGGGGGGGGCATAAATAATATGCCCGGGGACGCCAAATTTTTAAATACGGGCCTGACGGTTATTATTCTTATTTTTTCAAAACCCCCCGAAATTTTTTTCTACGTCCGCCCCTGATACGTCAAGTCGATTTAATCGTAGCAGCCAAGTTTGCAATCAAAAGTTTTAACGGGTTACCCGGTGTAGGTATTGCATGTTCTACCGAATGACAGTTACGTACTTTTTATTGTCTGTTAACATTAGAACTGTGGGTTGTACGACGTGCGTTTACTACCGCTCAGTGATTTGTATGCTCTGCGGTTCGTGCACAAAGATAACTTCACGCGTTTTATTGTTCGGTCTCGGAACGTGAGAAACAAACCTTCAGTCAATATCTTACGGTATTATTAAGATTTTTTAATTTCTTTTGATTTTGATAAGCGTTTTTAGCAGAACCATGTACGACGAGAGTTGGTCTGATAAACAACGTAAGGCGTGATGAGGTACGTGTTCGTGTAGTAAATAAAAATTAAAAACTACACGTTCTTTAATTGGTTACACAGTGTTGGCATATAGATTAGTATAGTTTTTTAGAGTTTTCCCCTATGGATCTTTGTTTTTGTATTATTTTATGATCGAGTTTATTGTATCTGATGGCTGAAACACAAAGAAATCATTTCGGATGTTAAACGTATAACACCTCCGACTGACGATGAAGGAATCACCTTTGTACATTTTATGATCATTCACACTTTTTCTGAATTACTGAAAATAAATATAATTGACAATGAATTACTAAAGGTACTATATAATATCTTTGAAAAGTGACATATATTTATATGAGCGCCTTGGATTAAAAATAGATTTATCTGAACTGTATATAATATAATATGTACAGGCGCTAGGCCGAAGTTATTTGTATAAAATACAATATAGCATGAAGAGACACGGACTACCAAATTATATCATGTATCAAGAAATAATCGGTCGTTGACGGTTTCTGCCCATAGTTTACCGATTTCGTAGAATCGAGGCGATATTGGTTGGTGATCCTTTGTTAGAGTTTTTTTTTCGGCTGTCCTTGGAATCCATTTCAGAAGTATAATGCGTGTTTGGAGGACAATCCCGAATGGAATTTTCTACACGTCAAACGTTGCCTAGGTAATAAATAATATACACCACGTGTAGTTTACCTCCATGATGCTGTGTTGAGTTTATTAGCAATATTTTTTTGGGTATCCGTGTACCCTATATTATATAGTATTTTTTCCATTTTCCGGAAACCCAAGTACACCGAGGAATGTTTGTGGTCTGAAAATCAACCATTTTTTCGACACCGATCGAACTGTTAAATAGGCATTGGGAAGATTTATATTTTCTAAAAACATTGATTTATTTTTTAATTAAATTTTGCTCTGATAACAATTTTTTTTCGGATTTCCGTTGGAAATATTCGTTTTTTATTTTATTAGGAGGCTATGTTTTAGTGACGTTTGTGCTCTTGTCTAACAAGTTTTCATTTATATGACTATTGTACATTATTTCCATCACGTCATTGTTTTATATTGTTATGTAGAACTGTATAAACGAAATGTTAAATATTTCAAAAATATTGTGGTTGGTATATCCTTTTGTGTATTGTGATAATAATGATTTATGTTACGAAACAATCCAGCCGATGCCACTAAAATATATTATAATAGAAGGTGTGATTTCTTTTTTGTCTGACTGATTTTTATTATTTCGTTAAATATACAATAACTTTGTACGATTTGTAAACGGACTTTGACGAAAATCCATAGGCCCTGAAATATTAAAATAAAGTCTTATTGCTTAAAGGATGTTAAGTAGTATAGAGTATTGTTTGAGTTAATTAATGACAAACGTGATGTTGTGCAAAAAATTGAAAAGTAAACACGAAACAAATTTACATTTAAATTTATAGCTAAATACTTAACATATATTTGATTAAGAAGTTGTCAAAAAAAAAAAAAAACAATTTACATTCACGATGTGTTCTGAAATAATATATTCATTTTAATTATAAACTGAAATAACTTTTGTGCATTTTATTTTTGAATGTTTATCTAAATGTACGCAGGTCTTCTATACATTATTTGCTGCAATATTTTTCAGCGTGATTCCGTGAACCGTAAATCACGTCCTGCAATTGTCGAACGTTCGCGTCTATTTTAACAATGAACTAACAATTATGTGTTAAGTAATTCGTTGAATTACTTCAACTTATTAATTCAACGGAATGCCTATGGATTATAGTATAATTAATTATAAAACATCTTTTGTTCTGTGAAAATTCGATATTTATATAATGTTTTTATCTCGTTTGAGAAGTAGTTTGATTGCTCTTTAACTTATTTAATTTTAAAATCTATATCATTTTTGCATGACTATATTTTACTGGTTACTCGATATCGATTTTTTGTTTTAATCAAGAGCCCCGATTGATTTGATCAAGTTTTAAATTGACAAGATCCGTACTCGTATTATTTGTTTACGTTGTAACGTAACAGAATTTATGATTGTTCCAAATTGTATTATATATATCGCTTTTGTAGTCGATAGCGGTTGTGGTTCGCTATGTACCGTTATTATTTTGGCCAGTTTTTTTTTTATTTATCTTAAAAATATAAGATGTTGGTTCAAACCGTCTTCAACGATACAAAGTGAAGTTTTTACTTACATAAATTGTATAATATAATGCTTTAGTGTATAATGCAAATTCACATGTGCAAGTTGGAAGTTAGAACACCGTCTGTGCTATGTGTTCCGACGTGCATAGGAGGTCTACTTCTATTTTCTAACCTAGATTTCTTTCTTTCTGTCTGTCGAACTGATAATATGTATACATTTTTTCACACCTTTTTGCAGCTCTAAAACGTAAGTCGCTAACTAAATTACGTCGCCGAAATCGTAAGTTTAGCAATTAAATCTCGGTTAAATCGTTATTATTATTATTATTGTTTCGAGTACTGGTTTCATCTTTTCGTTTTAATATTTACTCCGGTTCACTACCCAATAGTATACAAGTTTACACAATATTGCTCAACATGTACATGCTTGCATCGATATTTCCATCGTTTTAAGAGCTGTCGTTGGACCTGGTGGCTGGGAATCCCTGAGGGTTGCTCATCATTCGGATAATGGTTCGTATGATTCTCTGTTGCAACAATTTTTTTTATGAAGTCAGATTTTACACCAGTACCAAGGTCACTCGCTACACGTCAACTTATTTAAAATATTTCGATATTTTAACTAAGTATATCAAAATAATATTGACTTCCATGGCATTCGATTTTAAACTAGATTCGTATTTCAATAAATATTCAACCTGATAACCTCCATTAATTGGTCATAAGTTATTTTTGGTTATTCATTTTTTTATTTAAATATGAATTATTGTTTATTACAGTTAAGGTGAAAAATCTATATCACGCCATTCTCTTAAAGAAATCGGAACGCGGTTATTGAGTAGTGATCATAATACTTTTTAAACAGCTATAAAGACGTGTGACGTTATACAAACTATTACTGTGGTGTATTAACGGATCTTAATTATACTTGAGCTTGGAGGAAAATCAAATCCTATGAAATCATTAACGGTCATAAATTGATTTTCTTGTATTAGTGATTATAATTTATAAGTGATTGTACGTGTTTATTAAATGAAAAATATAACGTTTTGCGAAATCCGATAAATATTGTTGTAGTCGATGGCAAAACGCAGTTTTCCTGTTCTTACGTAATTCTGACACATGCAACCGGTGTTATTGAATGCTTAAATTTTTAAAATAGAAATGGAACACGTTCTATATATTTCTTGTGCATAAAAATTTTATCCTCAAGTAAAAAAATAGTTTTCACTCATAGAGTTAGTTAGTTGAACTTTAAAAATGTATTAAAATTTTTTTTATAGAATAGATTAAATACTGAAATTTTAAATAAATCGCAAGATATTTATGAATCATATGGAACATTTTTGTTTTTATCTTTAATAGTGTTTTAAATATTATCGGAACATAAAGGACACTCGTCCGAAAAATAAGAAGATCCTGCATATTAAACGTGGGTATACTCGCATTTTGTATCGCTTGTTGGAAAATGAATTGTCATTACGCAATACTTAACAATCATCGTTAAGACCTCAATTATGACTATTCACAAAATTATGTACCTAATTATCTTGCACGTTATCGTAATACAGTATTTTACATAAATAGATATACATTTATATACTATAATATATTAAATACAAGCAAAGTCAATGGAATAATTTCATATTTAAGAATTAATATAAATCAGATAATCTCTTAATATCCCAAGTATTTGGGGTTTAACAAGTCTTTAGATATGCCGTGGAATATTCCATAGCCCCTACATTGCCATGATACTTTCATCGAGGGTAGCCGCATTCTCCGTTTATATTTTTAAAATGAGCTCTAGGTATTAACTCCATTTGATTTATGGCTCGTATATTCACGTATAAATGATAAATATCCATCGGGAAAATGATCTAAGACGGAATCACATACAGGAATATTCCATTTTAGATGAGTTTTCGGCTTGTATTAATTTTATAATACACACTTTGTTTACGCTTTTGTGGCTGCAAAACCGAATCAAACCTCGAACTTTGGTTCCCATCTAAAGAATAAAGTTTTCGTGTAATATCGAGGAACCTGCATTCTTATATTTTTATTAAAAAAAAAAAAAAAAAAAACCATACATCCGAATACTTACAATCTGTGACTTACCATAAGATAATCGTGTTTGATTAGCTTACCTAGAAAATAGGATACAACCGTTTGGTCTTGACGTTGAAAAGTCGCAGAGTGTGATATTTCTTTTTCCACGACTTATCGTGTTATTACGAGTCTCATCAGTACACATAGTAAAACGTAGTACAATTACAATTTTGTTAAGACTTTCACCCCCTCCCCCCATCCCATTTCCGCGAACATCCACTATGAACACTACCTATGAAATTTTTACATGATGTCATCCAGCTGTCGCGTGCACACCGGGCCAACAGTTCAACCCACGCGTAAATCGTTGCGGCGGGGTGATCAATTGTGTTGTCGGGGGGGGGGGGGGGGGGGGGGGGGGGGGGCGCAGTTGCTGGGGCAACTAAATTCTAAATCGGCCAAACACCGAACGCGCATATATACGTACGCGACTACGGGCTTCAAGAAGCTAACGGAATGCACGTTCTCTTGTTCAATCGCGACATTTCACGCTACGCACCTCTATTTAGTTTTCCCGCGGACGTGCCTTATCAATTCGTCGTTCTTATCGTCGCCAACGCGTACAGGTACGTATACGTACAGGCCACATTAAGTACGTGCATCGAAATATATTTGTTTGTTTTCGTCTTGCACGTACGCCACGTCCAACCGGATCGCGAGAGCGTACGAAACGCGTAGGTATATATATATATATCTCGTACGGGCAGTACAGGCGTGTAAACCTGTGCTTATTTTGGGAAAGGTATGGCGTATTAACCTTTTACGAAATAAATTAAGCTTAAATAATGTGCAAAAAAATGGTATATATCGTGTATCTTAACTCGATGTGACTACAATACAATATTTGGTGAGGGAGGGGTGATCGCTCTTACCGACCCCTTCCCTAGATTACGTGCCTGAAGCAATATCTGATTATGCAATTTTTTAAACCTACACATTTTAAATAAACTTGCCGCCCAATAAATGTATATACTATGGAAAAAGAGTAGAGACCGCGAGTAGTGAGTATATCGCTGCCATACAAGCAGGGCTCCCACAAAGGGGGGAGTGATGGATCTTGAGTACAGGGGCCCGGCTTTTTTAAGGAGCCGTGGGCCCGTTGAAATTTATTTGTAATTTTTGAAATTTTAGTAGAAATACTTATTTTACATTAAATAATATTGTAAAATAATATTTTATATATATATATTTAGTTATTTTGATAGTTCAAAATGCAGATTAACCAATGATTACCTAGAAATCAATGGATTGGCTTCGACAATCAATTTTGACGATAACATTACTGATTTCGCTGAGCTCAAAGCCAGCAAAATAAAATTTTAACTTAAAAAAAATATATTAAATATAAATTAAAATATTATTGTAATAAAAAAATAAAATAGACATTATTAATGTTGAAATGCTTATGAATCTTGAATTCGAATTGGTTTAATGAAAAAACAAATATTATTCTTAAAATTGTTAAAATTGTTATATATAAATAGTAAATTGTATTTTTGGAAGTTTTATAAAGGGCCCGGACAACCATTTAATGTAGGGGCCTGAAATTGTATGGGGGGGCCCTGCATACAAGGTGTCCCGGGCTCGTGAAACTTTGACCCATCGCGTTACACACCGGAAAATCTTCCCGGAGCACCCTAAATGGTTATACATGTTTACCGTTGTGAATATGTGTGTGTGTGTGTGTGTGTGTGTGTGTGTGTGTTTAGTGTATGCGCTATAACGTGATGTATTATTAATATTATGTGTGTCGTCGGATATGAAGGCCGCGAGGGTTTTGCTGATCTTGTCGAAATCCGATACATCGAACACGAAACAATACGCGTGCTAGACCGGCGATGAGGATGTGCCCCGTATGAAATGTGCGTAATGATGGTAAATTCTGCAAATAATTGAATAATTTTTTTTCACGCACATAAATGTATGTTATAAAAGTAATAATGTCACGGGTTTTTTAATTTTTTTTTTTTCATTGCAACACGTTGTGGTCAACACAGCGGCGGTTGAACTACGGAGGGAAGGGAAATATTTGTACACGCGTTAAAAGAATGACATTGTTTTCGATCAGAACGCTGATGACGACTACACGACGACAGCGGTGGCGGAAATGATGATTCCCATCGTCGTTGAGTCGTTTTATAATATTATATTTTAATAAAACTCGTAGCCCAACGATCGTTACTTGTTATTAGTTTACTAACGTTTTTCTTTTTTTATTCGCGCAGATTATATACACGACTACGTGAAGCATTACGTCAAGGAACAGAACATCCAAGGTGAGCAACTTCAAAAACATTAACAATTATAATATTATCATGTTTATATTCTGCGAAGTTCGATTTTGAATTTAAAAATACTGCACAATATATTATATCTACATAAAATTTCATCGAAAAAATGAAACGCTAATTTTTTTTCGCAGATGCGCTCCACGAACTGGATAGCTTAAAATCGTTGATCATTTTCATGACGTTTCTGGTTGCCATAGCGCTTGTCTTCATATCCGTCACGTTGGTGTTTATTTGGAACCGCGAGAGGAGGATAAGGAAGATTAAGAACGGTGGCCAAGATTCGTTTTTTAAAAAAAAGTTGGCCTCATTACAGGTAAAGAAAATAACGACATTTGTTTATTTAACTATACGTAACCCGTGAGCACCGTAACACCTAAATTCTAGACAGTAATCCGAACGCGTCCCGAATAAATTTGTGTGCCTATCGAGCTTACAACATTGTGTATTTTTTAAACGCTTAAAGACTTAATATTAAATTTGATTATAACTATATTACTAGAAAATATACACAATAATTCATTATGAATTTCGGAGCCTATTATATGAAATCAAATCCATTCAAAGCAATGAAAAAAAAATGTTACTTTCATAATTTGACTACTATCATTAATATTTGTATATTACATTGCGTTCAAATACGGATAAAAGTTACCTTTTTACCTTCTGTAAAAAAAAATGATATTAATTTACGTATTAGAGTTAATATTAGAATACAATGTACAACAATAACAATATATACATTTGACAATATGCACACTTGTTCTTTAATTCGATAGTTAATTATTGTAATAGTTATTTCGTTGGAGTATTCGATTGTGATAAAATAGATGGGAGCACAAATGGATTGCGTTCTATTTCGAAATTCTTCGATAAATATTACCCAAATTCATTGGATGAGATGTAGGTATATGTACATGTATTACGGAGGTTGTACCTATAGATTATAGTGTAATACCTGTGCACGAGATCACGAAGTCGGTATTTAGAATAGTCCCTTTTGTATTCTATTCACCGTTTTCCCCCCTTCTTTTTCCAAACACACGCTCGAGGGTGTATTTATGATTTTATTTCCCTTCTCACACAATAACGTTTCGTTCCGCTTGTGTTCACATAATATATGTGTGTGCATACATGTTACGTGTTTCAAACACGGCTCGGAGACACGTACGGACGAGGTGTATTGTCGTAATTACTTGTTCTATTCATTCTCGGACCGTTTGTTTTGTTAGCAAGTGCACCATACGGAATATACCGCGCAAAGCAGGTAATTGTATTTGTATGGTGTGTTTTCAATTGCACTCTCCCCTCTGCATGTTCAGACGTAAAACCGTCGCTGTAGACCGATAACTTGCCCCGTCAGCCTGTGTTATGGTGAGTTGTTGTTAAATCATAATTACTATAGTATTTCACCGTACACGTTATAATATCATAATAATATTAATGCGATTGGTTCAAAATGAACAATATTGTGGCCAAGCGAAAAACAAAACGTGAATTTTGAAAATAAATAGTAACAAACTATAATAATTTTATTTCGATTTTTTCTTGAGGAAAATTACAATAAGCTATATAAATCTATACAAAGTAAAGCACACAATACTATCGGTGGGAGGTGTGTTCAAGTTGATTCCCCAGAGCTAAATGGAAAAACCCAACTAAATTTTGATAGAATAAATAATATTTTAACAATAACTTTATCATATAGACAAGCACGTAACTCTAATTGTTTCAATATAATTTAAGCATTATTCTTCATTTTCGTTAATTTTCGTTTAGCTTCCGTGAAGCTAATTCCAGTTTTACGCCGATTTTTTTAAAAGGTTATTTATAAATTTATGATTTGTTAAAAAGATTATGGAAATTTTATAATGAGTGATACAATCATACCGAAGGGGAGGGATCTAATTTTTTTGGTTTAGTTTATTTTGCATTACACCTCGGAAATTAAAAATAAACTTTAGACTACAAATATACAATGCAAAAACACGAACTAATACTATTAGTATTATAATACAAATAAATATGTATACAGAAACATAATTACAAAACCAATTACTGATTAAATAAAGAATAATGATGCTTCAAAAAAATTAGGGAGTAAGGATACTGTCGTCCAATGGAATAGAAATAACCTATGAATTGGGTCCAACAAAATTTCACTCCCTCTCAAAAGGGTTAAAGTAAACAATAAAAATATCTTCATTCATATACATACACACTAACCACTTTACAATTATATGTAATTAATATACTAATGCGATATAAAAATAAATTGTGTAACGGTGCAACCTAAAAAGGATTTAAACTATAGTTCTGTAAATGGTAGTGTTAATGTCAGTAATTTGTATACTTCATAAAAACGTAGTTATGGCTGTTATTTTGCAACATTATAATAACATTATAGATGAATGTTTTCCATCATAAAATGAGAAAAAATATACGCACAATTTTGGTTTCATATCTGAGAATCGAATTCTCGTGGACTCGCTTAGAGTCCTACTCCTAATCCTACATACCTACCTTCCTACAATATTATTCTTGTTATCAAAATTGAGTTATCTAAATAAACAAAATATTTTTTTAAGTAGTTATGATTTATGAACCCTTGGTTTTTAATATTACAATAAATAATATAAACTTTCATTCCTAGTTACTTATAATATTTTTGGGTTTACTTGTTAAATATATCTTATGTAACTATCTCTAAAATCTCTTAGGTAATCGAAATCAAAAAAAATAACTAGGTAGGTAACTTGTATTAATAATATACTTTTATTTAATAAAAAATTAACTCATAAATAACATTTATTCATATAATTATACTTAAATATATAATATATTACATAAAATAACATTATTATTATATAAAATCTAATATAAATTACTCTAATATCAAAAAAAAAGTTTAGAAGAGAACAACCATACTAAGTACATAAATTGTAGATACATAGTAATTTTTTAAATTGTTTAGGAATTAATTAATTACTATAACATAAAGTTGTTATAACTGCAGACATATTGGTAGTTGGAATAGACTATTAGTTGCTTATATTTAATGTCACGAATTTAAGCACAAAAGGTATTCGATATTTTTTCTATGTTAATAATGAATATTCGTCTAACTTTTGATGGAAAAGGTTTATTTATTAATTGTTATTAATTAATAATTTATTTATTAATTAAAAATCGAATATTCTTTACAAATTAAAAATATATTTCCAATAGTTGGTTTTACAACGTTTTGTACAATTACAAATTAAGCATTTGATAACATTAAATATTTGTCTTTCATCAATAAAGTTTTTATTGTTATACTTAAATTATTTATTTAAATTTTTTATACATTTTATCATATTTATATATATATATATGTGTGTGTGTACCATGTAGTCTACAGTTTACAGTCGGTAGATGAGGAGGAAGGGGTTCGTGTATAGCAAACATCACGTCTATTGGTGCTTTATTGATAGGTTCAAAGGGTTTTTTTTTCGAAAATAATACTACGTCAAAGACAAAATTACTATTCATAATTATGAGAAACTCTTGACAACACAAACGCCATAATCAATTGCAACTTGGTCAAATAAAATATAACACCTTTATACTACATCACATACCAGGAGAGTACCCAGAATTTTTTATAGGGGGTTTAACATTTTTATTTTATCTGTTTTCTAATTATAAATATAGTTTAACTCAATACCAACAAATTACTGTTAATATACTATAGTATGGTTTATACATTATAGGTATATTATATAATCTATAAACTTTGTATATTGAAGATAATGGGAAATTAAAATACACTATACACCTACTATTATTATACTATTTACTATTAAATCGTTGAGTATGTAGAAATTTCAATGGGGGGTTCCGGACCCAAACCTCCCCTTGGGTACGCCCTTGTCACATACACATCCATAAAGTAATGTATCTGACACAATGGAATTAAATATCGTTGCGATGTTCTGTAATATTGAATGTTCAGTGGGTAGATATCATTGCGCAGCAGCAACTCATATTATAATATTCGGTGAGAGATTGGTCAAAGCCCACGGCTCCAACATCGGAGAATGTAAAAAACACGGATTAGCGTTTAAGTCAGTGCGTATATCTTTTAAGTCTTCTATCCCCCTGCTGAATAAGATAATAATTGAAAGAAGGTATGTCATTGTCTACGATTTCATAATATCCTTTATGTATATATCATGAATATATATTCTTGGTATCAAGCTGATAATACGTGAGCGATGTGATTAGAAATGCATCGTGTAAATTGGCTTTGATAATACGATCTTAATAGCACCTTGTATTATACAGCCTGAGCTATCAGATGTCATATGTGATTGAATCATTTACGTAGCAGCCGTTTGGTATCGAAAAATATTTTTTATGAAGACTTATTATTATTATTATTATTATTATTATTTTTATCACTTATTCATCATGCATCTATTCTAACCCGTCCAACTCCTTAATTATATACATACATATACGTACATATCAATATGTATGAAGTATCTCGAGTTTACATGCACGAAATGTATGTCGTTACTGACTATTGTCCCATGAATGTTTATATTTCATCGAATAGTGTTTACGTGGGTCCGATGACAACGATAACAAAAATGGATGTACTGTCGCGGCACATAATATAATCATAACATTTAGACTAGTTACATCCAATCCAGAGACGGTTCAATAATTTATATAAACTCTCCCATCTTTGAGAATTTTAGGGTTACATTACATTTTTTTAATTTTACATTAGCACTGGAAATATCAACAATTGCTAATTGTAAACAAAAATAATATATATATTTCTTATTCGCTATCTACATAAAATATGCATTAGAAAAAGTTATTAAATCACCATATACAGTACTATGTTGAATGATAAATAAATATAAATCGTTACTTTTAAGAAAAAATATTTCAGTACAGTATCATACTGTACTGAAATATCATACCTTTAGGCGACTTTTGAAAATAAGATTTTAGATTTGCCGTTTTGAAAATTACAGATGCACATTTCGAAGCTTTTTCTTTAGCTTTTTTTAGGGTAAGCAACTTCATTTGACCTTTTTGTTATCCATTATTCAAAAGTAACTAGTAAACAAAGAAATAATCTAACTAGCAATGAGCTGTTAAATGTTCATTATTATATATTAATACCTGATACATTATCACATATTTAAATATTTGCACTGCAAAAGTCATAATTTATTTTAATTTATACAATTTGCATTGCAAGTTATAAGCATAACTATGCTCATGCTGTTTGTATTATTATATAGCAAACATAGATATTATGTATCTTTTCTTTTTATGTTCTATAATAGATATTATTTTAATAATTTTTTTTTACTTTTATGTTATTCAATAAAAAAAACTAATGATAATTTATGAACATTAAATAATAGGTAATAGATACTTACAGAACACGTGCGTTTTTAACAATAATAACTTACAAACAAATATAGCATTGCATGGTAGTAATAAAACAATTGGATCAATCAAAAATTTACAACTTTCATTGGAAAAATAATTTAATCATTGTGAACCAAAATAATATTGATATATGATAATAACTGTGGTTAAGTCATGATAGCCTACCTACAAAAAAAAAACAATTTAATAATACAATATAATACCGGGCTACAGCATTGCCTGGTCACAAATCAAAATTTGGCCACTCAGGGAAAATGATTCCATTGCTCCTCTTAAACACGACCCTGTCAATATGTAACTTTTTAATCAGAAAAATAGTGGATCTTCAAATGTATACCGACATTCGGCCATCGCAATGTCCTGTATAAGTGAATACGGACTCTTCATCGATGGTGGAATGATGGGAGGTTTTGAGGATGTCGTATATTTTTCGGCTGGTGAGTGGGAGGATATCACAGATGATCTATTGGGCTGAATTACGTTTGACAGTTCCGAAAATTGTGTGTTAATAATTATTCTTTTGTCTGCATCAGTCTAATCATGCCTAATCGGTGGACGAACAACATCGCGTCCTCATATAATAGTATATATTAAAATATCTTCTTCTCAAGTCCATCTTCCAACTACGGAAATTAGGTGACCCTTTAATTGACACTGGTAACAACTCCTTTCCAACGCTCGCGACTTTCTGCCAACCTAATTGCATCAAAAATAAATATACACGTATAATAATACACCCCTTCTCGCGAACACTCGCTTCCTCTCCACTTCATACTCCAATCGAAAACGGGCTGTGCACTAATCTTCGTGACGATCTTTGTTTTTCGCTGTTCCAGTACCCGAAGAAAAAGGATAAGGTGAGCACGGTGAGCGAGACGATAGTCAACAAGATGCCAACGGCGAACGCGGCCACGTCGCTGGCGGCCACACAGACGGACCTGATGATCGCCACGCCCCCGTCCGCCTCGTCTTCGGGTCAGCGGACGAACACGTCTTCCGGCGGCATGAGCAACAGCAGCTGCTCCTCCAACAAGCTACCATGCGAAGACGCCACGCTCGAGTTCTCCGGCTACGATAATTTCGCGCTCAAAGTGTCGCCCGTCCTGGGCAAAACGATCACCGCCAACGACCTGCTGCACCGGCAGTATTCCCCTTAGAGGAGGCACTGCGAAACGGAACCCGCAAAGGTTTGGGGTTGATGAGGGGGCGCAGAGAGGTTTGTTTTTGGTGCGCGCGAGGCTTTCGTCTACCGTCGAAGATCCGCGAACATGGTCATGCAGCCGCAGCACCTCTGTAACCGTGTTTCGGTTGCGGCTCGGTTAAGCACGCGCGACCGTTGACCGCGCACGGTGCGCGCAACCCGTGGAGGATTTGCAGAAACAAACGTTTTGATCGCAACACTTGTATACGCTCTGCGCCTGTTTGAAAAACGATTCCGTTTCGTTTACGTTGTGCACTCCAAGCTGCCGCCGACGCCACTCGCCGTTTAACTCGTTCCGGTGCATTAAGTAAATAACATTTCATTTTTGGATTTCTCATTATTATTATTTGTTTGTTTTCCCGCGACAATATTTACTAAACGGTTTTATGAAATTCTTAACGAACAGTGTTCTGTCGACGCAGACGACAACAACGCATAGCCGCGATTCTGCATAACATTCGTGCGCTCGCACATGGTTGTATTGCTCGTTCGCGGTCTAATTGTACGTACTTATGTTGATATTTATTTTTATTTCCTTTTAATACTACGATTTTGTTATGTTTAGTATGTAAGCATGTATAATTTGTTGTCACGCACAATATTATTATAAAACAAACCTGATCATGGTATTGACGTTAGCGTTGGTTGTAAAACACTATTTATATTTTATAAACAATGATATTAGTTATATTATGTAGTTATAGGCTTCTGAACGATTCGAGGATGTTCAAAGAAATTTGACCTTTCGTTTCTCTTTTAATATTACCTGATTGTTTTATGATTCTGTTATTTAGCATTTAAGCAAGTATAATTTTTTGTCACGTACAATTATTATAAAACACAGCAGAAATTGTGGTATTAACGTTAACATTGATTGTAAAGTACTATTTGTATCTTTTAATCAATGATTTTAGATTTAGGTAAGCGAAAACTAAGCATTTTTGTTATTTCATTTTATAATATTACGATTTCGTTACTTATGATCCAGGCATATTATATTTATGTTGTCGCATATGTGATAATCGATTGCGTGTTCAATCGATATATATATTTATAATGTATGCATTTTCTGTGGTAGTAGTTTTAGGTGCATAGTCGTATATTATAGGCTTAGAGCGTTCCGAAAAGGATAAAATAATTAAAACCTTTCATCAGTGAACCCCGTCCAATAAGGTTTTAATAATTTTTAGACAACTTCACGCAGCGTTTACGCGTCTGCGCGGGGTAGTAGGTTAGGTACTAGTTTTATTCGCACGGTCAAGCAGCCATCGCCGTGCCGTTTGATCGTGTTGTAAATATAGCACAGTATTTGTACATAGTTATATATATTTTATAATAATACCATGATCTATGTAAGTTAGGCTTTATGATAGAATTTTATTACGTTTAATATGTTACTTATATAGCGTAGACAAGCATCGCGCAGGATGTATATGGTTAGGAATACCTATGTGATGTAATCATGGTCTTACGAAAAAAAAAAAAAAAATGGCGTAGTTCAAAAACAATAACGTGTTTCCCTTACCGCAAACGTTTCCTGCGTCCTGTTTGATAACAATTTATCACATGTTAAATAGTTATTAGTTACGCCTTTTACGTTGTACCTTATACACTGTGTATTCTTACTTATGCGTAATTGCGTGATGTAAGGTTATACGTTATACGTATTATTATTATAAACCGAGACAATCATATCGTAGTGTTACTTATGTTACTTATTTGTATTAATTCATTATCTATACATGACGCGACGTCGTAGTGTATAATAATGAAAAATTATAATACATAACGTTTAACTATTTAAGTACTTATATATGTATATAGTGACAAATGTGCAATATTCTCTTTCAAAATAAAAATAATAGATTAGATATTTTTATTGTATTCGATTTTAATACTTGATGGCACCACAACATAATACATATGAAATTTACGTTTATCGTAAATAAATAAAGTGTATCGAAAAGCAATAATCATAATTTTACTTTATATATATTTTATATTTATAATATTACCTGTATTTTTTTTCTATTGTGTACAATTATTGAACTGCCCGAGTCAAACATAAGGTTTGGCGATCATTTTTTTATTCATACGAATATAGTATAATTACAATGTTTATATAATATTGCAATAGTTCATTTATTTGTTTATTTTTGTATTACCACAGAATTTTAATCTGTTCCTATTTATTGCATTTTTGTACGAATGGAAAAAAAATATATCATATTAATACCAAAATATTTTCTTTTTTTTTCTTTTCCTCTCTCTCCCTCGATATCGATTGAAGACACTTGGTAATTTTGCAGAATATAAACGACAAGTGACCATACATTAAATGGAAACTATTTTAATTTGTGTGTGCTGTATAATGTGCCAGGTACCAAAATAATTGTAAAATGAAATAATCTTTATCATATATTTTATAGATGTAAAATTTTAAAATATTATAAAAAAAAGTTTTTGGCTCCCCTTTAAACCATGGGCGGAAGTCTCCCCTACGGCATGGCTCTGGGTATCAGCGTCTATGTAGGGGTATTGGTGATGCTGAATATAACAGTGAATATTCATAGTAAAAATTTTATACATACATTAAACATACCAGTGGCGTAGCCAGGAACTTTTTATGGGGGGGGGGGTTCAGCAAATTTATATATATTTTATCTTATCACTATCATTTTGACTACTATTTGTATTGATCTCAATCCTCTGGTTGACATTAGTTTTTTTTGACTCGGGTAAAAAAAAATAATTAATTATTTAGTCTGCTTATTTATTAGAGAATTTTCCTATAATAATAATAAATAATAATAATAATAATAATAACAATTTAGGAACTAAGAACTAATATAGGAACATAAATATTAGACATTAGAATATTTTCTGTCAAATCAGTTAGGTATACTAAAAATTAAATTTTAAAAATATCTTACCATAATGGAATGTTTAGACGTCCTAGAATGATGAAAAATTAAAATAAAACAAATATAATGGAATACAAATGTCTAATATATAAACGAATAAACGAGTAATAAGAAAAACAGTGAGAAACCAACTGGCAACAATCAACTATTAACTAATAACTATTAGTTTTATACAATAAGGTGCTTTTGTAAATGATCGGCGAGCATAGGTATGGTATACCCAAAATAAATTTTAAATACAGACAATGTCGCTTATATCTCAGTTATCGGGACCAGACGATCGATTTAGAATCAACCGTTGCAAAAAAACCTAAATAATATGTTCCCAAGCAAAAATTCTCAAAGTAGTAGTAAAGTATCTAAATATGATCATAATATTATGACGTGTGTGTGTGTTTGCAGCGTGTGTATTATACATATATAGTGTTTATACAAACTAAAAAAAATTAATTTAAATTCTAAAATATTTAAATGTTAAAGAAAAAACCGTGTTTCATGTAAAAGTTAATTTACCATCTCAGATTCATGGGGGGGGGGGGAGTACTGACCCCCAAATCTCCCCATGGATACGCCACTGAAACATACTATATCCGACGTTGTTCCTTTTTTTTAGCTATAATCTGGCGGTGGCGGTTCCAAAACATACCAAAACATCGTGCCACTAAATTTTTCAAGTAATTTCTTGTCAAGAACTATAAGATATTTTCACATCATCTTTAACTTCTCTGATAATTAATCGATGATTATTTCGAATAATTTCACCAACATGAGCAACGGTTTCATTCGTTTTACTGGTCGAGGGTCCCAGGTCTTTCGTTATTTTTAACGTATGTTCTACCTTCCTTAAACCGTTTAAACCACACAAAACATGTTTCCAAGACAGAACATGTCTCTATAAATTTGCTGCAAAAGTTCAAAAGTTTCACTAGAATTTTTCCGTAATTTAAAACAAAAATTCACACATACACTTTGTTCTTCTATTGTTTTCATTACAAAATTTGCTAATTTGCTGCATACGAAAGATGGATATGTAAAAATACAAAGAAATAAAAATAATAATTGAAATCATTTTTTTTTAACTAACACTCTAATTTTCGTTAGAAGTTATGTTATCGAATAAAAGTATCGGGGTTTCGTTATCTTTCTTGATATAAATATTATCATAGTTATTAGTTAGATATTAACACAGTTCTGGTATTTTTTGATCATACCTCGTAAATCATGATAACTTTGAACTGCGTCAGTCTGGCATATTTTTATCACATCTTACCATAATTTTATTTCTTGATTATTTTATTAGTAAAGATGTTGGAATTTCAAAAAAATATTATAAATTTGTTGGTGATAATAATTATATTTAATCTAATAAATTGGACATTTTCATAATTCCTATGGAAATAAATTCAATATTAATATGCAATTTTATAAATAGTTATATAAAGTACGTTTTTCATAAAATTTTCTTTAAAATATCTAGTTTTTTTGATAATCTGGTAGAACTATAGTCTCTTAGTTGTTGGATTATCAAGACTATTACTTAAGCCCTTCTTACAAATATAATTTGTACAACATTTAAAAATACATATTATTAAAAAATATGATATATATTATGATTATTACACAAGAATATAAATAACTTAATTAATATCCAAAGTTGGCATTCGCTATTAAACATTGACGAGGCTACGTATTTATATCGGTCGTAGCAGCGGCACATTTGAAGTGAGTGATTGTGGGGGATGACAATAATTCTATCCCTTGGGAATTCATAGTAATATGTCTATTAAACGAGATGTGCAAATATATTTATAATATGTTTAATGTCGATACAACTACATTTTTATATTACCTTTTATAAATAATACAGATTTAATTAAATCTCGCCCGTTTTTTTCGAATAATCACAAACGTGGTACTAGATACACGTATTTTACTCAATACAAATCTCAACTAGGTGTACTCGTAAACATCACACGGTATTATCTCACTCTATGTTGAAAATCGATTAATTGTGTAAGGGGTTACATTCAATGAATTAAATATAGTTTGATGTTTACCGCAAATACCACTTCTGATCAAATCTAACCCAATAGAGAAATTGTCATTTGAATAAATTTATGCTCTTGTAAACTCCAAAAACGCTTTCTTTATGTATTTAATTACAATTGTAGAAATAATTTATAAAGAAATAAAAATAAATATTGTTCGGGTCAACTAGTTAAATTTGCTGCTCTGTATCTCTTTTAGCTGAAATTATTATTACTTAGCAATTACATTATTGTTATTTATTTTAAATGTTATATAAAATGTATGACTTGTATCTGCTACAATAATTTCCACCTCCTAATATCAATTTTTCATTACCATTATTGTCTTCTCTTTTCTTTCTCGTTCTATTATTGAAGGAATTATTATTAGGATCAACCCTGTCACTAAAATGTTATTAGCACATAACACTATACAGTAGTAGTTAAGAACCATGTCCAACATTTTTAAATATTTTCATTTTTTAATTTACTGTAAATTTTTAGTTTAATCTTAGCCTCGATGCATATTTACTCAAGAAAACAAAATCTTTAAGGTATGTTTGTATTGAAAATCACTCAAATTTTGAAACATTATATCTAATACATTATGGTATGATAAAATAAAATACAATAAACACATGTTTTCGACATGTTACTTTGTCTGACAAAATTTAACATGGTTAATCAGAAATCACTAAAATCATCAATGAAATTATAATAACAATACTAATTATATTTTAAAATAAAAATTAAATATCATACAATGCCATTTTATTTTATGCTGTATCAATTAAAAATTTGCTAAATTTAATAGTCTGAGATTAAGAGGCAATCAAAACAAAAAAATCTCAAAATTATATTATAAATTCATAAAAAATTACCGATAAAATTATTTCTTTAAAAATTTGCAAATAAAACTATAATAAAATAAAAATTTAACATTAGTATACATAATATTTTAAGTAAAACGAAAACCTTAACTTAGCAATTATATAACAAATATTAGGTACTTAAAAATAATAGTAGTCTTTTTTTAATTATTATTCCATAGAAATTGTTATTTCGGTGGAATAGGTGTATCACAATTTCCATGATATAAATGTATTTTCTCAGTACATTTTGCAAACGAGTCAAATGTTTCTGCATAACCATGTTGTTTCCACCATGTACATAATTGACGATTCCACCCACATGACAAACGGTAAATTAACTCTGGTCGTTCAAAACTTACAAGTGTATACCAGTCTTGGTCGCCTAAATGACCCTTGAAAAAATATTTAATAGAAATGAATGGTAAAGAACTAGAAATTACTTACTTTGAACAAATATTTTTGTACGGCGCTAGATATCCATTCAGGACTGATAAGTCGATTATATTCAGTGCTCTTGCGTATTCGCTCTAAATATGACATTATGACCCCACTATTCAAGCCATTGAAGTTGCTGTGTTTCTGAGTTTTGTACTTATCTCCTTTATAGTTCCTCCATTTCCATAGGATATGATGATAAACAGGAGACATTTCTGGGGCCAATCCAAATAATTGTGTCTTAGTAAAACTGCAATGTTAAATTTGAATAATTATATACTCTATTTTTAAAATTAACTTCAAAAAGAATTCTAAATATTTTTACTTGTTAAATATACTATTAAGATCACAAATGCTTGATTGAAATTCTGTGTCAACATCAACAATAATAGCCTTTTTCAAAGAACTTGGTGCAACCAGATGCAAAGCCGGAGACAAATAAAAGACATCATCACTATAGTAAGACCCTTTGGATGATTGGAAAAACCGTTTCAACGGTTCAATTTTATTCTCAACTATTTTCAATACATCTTGAAAGTCATAATAAACCAACTGAAAATCAATTTTACCCACTTATAAATACAGTTGTAGCCAAAAAACATTATATATTAATTTTTACCATCAGAAGAGCCTCTTTGTACTGTTTTCTAAACTCATATATTACACTGTCCACTGTTGGACGACTAGTATTATCTGTTATCACATTTAATTCAAAAACAGCTTGACATTTGCCACGCTGATTGACTAAAGATTTGAAAAATCTGCGAAACTTGGTCAACAAGTGTCCATGGGCAATTTTCGTCACCGATATCCAAATGCTAACCTTTGGCTCTGTCTTATCGGCTGCTGCATTAATGGAAGATAATGCTTTCGATTTGACATTAATTCTAGTCTTTGGGTTGAAGTACAGAATTACCAATATTGTAAATATCGTTAAGACAATAATGCACTTCGCATAGGTGCGCATTAATGCAACTGGTGCATTGCTAAATTATTAACAATTACAGAACGATGTTCTTTGTTTTTAACGCTAAGCATTAAATCTCATAATTTCTTACCTTACCGTAAATAGAAAACAATTCTTTACTTCAAAATACGTTTATCTAATATTTTAGTCTAAAATATCTATTTGCTTACAATGATATGAAATGTATAAACACTGTATTAATTATTATAGTTAATTTTTAAATAATAACTAATTTATTATTTGTAAAAGCTTATCAACAATATTCTCATATACACTATTATCATTGAAAACAGGGGTTACCAAAACGACAACGGAACAAAAATCTATGATCATAACTAGGCCTGGGATTTTAATGTCCTTAAAAATTGCGAAAAAAACCAAAATGCAAAATTACTTAAAAAACTTAAAAAAAACATTAAAAAAGGACCATTGGCGTCTGTCGTTTCATCAATAGAAACCCATATTTTTTTATTTTTTACGTATGACCTTATAATTTGAATAGTTTCATCATAACAAATACTAATGTAATTTTTCAGTAATGTAGAACGATCAGAATTTTGTTTATTATTATACTTTTCCAAAAATGAACGTAACTTAGAATTATCTAGTTTATTTAACGTTATATTACATTTGAGAAAAGAACGAGTTAAATCTAAAAATTATTCTGATCTATTTGTGTGGCCTGATGTATCGGCAATAAAACTTGGTGACTTTTTTTCTTAATATTCAATTTGTTCTATTCATTGTACTCCAATTATATGTTTATCTCTTGATATATGTTGTTGTAAGGTAAAACTTTTTTTAGTAGTAAATTACATATTACATACCTTAATAACAACACTAATCCGTTGGTAGAAAAAATCTATAATCTATATTAAATTCAAAAACACCAAAAATGACTTAAAAACCCCTGAAATACCCTAAAAAAATAACCTTAAAATCAAAAATTGTCAAAAAATGTCTTATTCTAATTTAATAATACCTAACACATATTTGTAATAAAACGAGCATTGTACTAAAAGTTTTAAAAATGCAAATTGCATCAAAATCCCAGCGCCAATCATAACGGTCCAAGAATATGGAATATGCATTAAGTCGAATTTACATTGATAGAGTATTTAATATAGTACACTAACCTACTATTTTTTCTACTAATTCTACCCTACCAGTTTTTTAGTCAAGTAACAGTTTACACAAAGTTAGTGATTTAGTAAAAGAGAGTACAGTATGAAGACATGTGCTTGGTTTGCGCATCAACAACATTTTACTCTACTATACCAAAATAAACTTGATTACACCAGTAGAATTGTAGTAGAGTACAGTTAAAACAGTGGTGGGGGTAAAAGCAAGTAGAGTGTACTCTATCACAGTGATAAAATGCTCAACTGATTTTTATCTTTAATACTCTACCTACAATATCCCTGAGTGTTAACATTACACTATTAATGGTAGAGTACAAACTCTTCCATCATATTATACCAAATACTCTACCAATGTAAATCTGGCTTTAGATCAAAAAGTGAAGAGGAATGCAGGACCTATTACTTAATAAGATAGGTACTACCAAGGCTATATTTAGAAATTTTTTTCAGGAGGGGTCCAAAACATCTATTTTGTAATTTTATTGAATTTAGTTTTTAACTTTTGATATTTGGTTAAAAATAAGACAAAGATTTAATTTTCTTTTATTAAAATTAATATCATATTTTCATATGTTATGATATAAAACTAAAAACAGTCAATGGTTAATTGTTGCTTAAGTCATTTTTGATTGAAAATATTTATGTTGGTATTAAAAATAAATAATTATTTTAAACATTCATAAAATATGAAAGAAATTTCGGAGAGGAGGGTCAGACCCTCTGGACACCCCAAATATGGTCTTGGGTACTACATTTTGTGGTTTTACCAATATTTATGCATAATCCATAAATCTTAACTACTTAGTACTAATAATTAAATAATTAATGCCTCTATATAACACATTTTATATCAGTTATTCTAATTAACCTTCGAGCAGGTGCGTATTTTGAAGGTACACAACCAAGCACGTGGCGATATTTACATTATACGTTGTCATATGTCTGAGTAAATAAGATGATAAAATTGTTTTTATGTTTAATAATTTTCATTTTTAAACTATTTATATCTTAAAAAAAAACTTTTTATCATTAATTAAAATTCATTAAAATAATTTAATTCATGCATATTTCACTAGAAAAACATAACCACGATTAACAAGAAAATGTATTATTTTGAATTATCCAACAAAGATTGTAAATTACTTTTTCATTTATATTTTATAAATTAAACATCATATTACTTAAAATATATCATATATTTATTATATATATTTAAAACTAATACAGAAAATAATATTATGAGTTGCTATTATAAATTAATATCATTATGGTCTGGACATACTAATATTTTGATAATTACAAAAATATTAATATTGTAGTTATATTATAATTAAATCACTTGGATAAATTATACATTCAATCAGTTCCATATAAAAATCCAAGTTCAATTATAGTTATATTATACATTGGTACCTAACTAATTATTTACTTTCAGCAAATCCAATTCTATTGTTTCCTAGATCAAATTCTGTGTAATAGCGACCAATGAAGACATCACCCAATATCCATAATGGACCATTAGGTGGGGGAATGTCGATACCCATAAAACCAGATATACACAGGGTCTTTCCAACTTTAGTAACCTTGAATATAAAAATAAATCGTTCAGAAAATTACTACTAGAAAAATAAATATACTAATATAAAAAACATAAAATTACCTTAAGTACATAGTCTTTTCCTTCCAAAGTAAACTTTGTGTTACCAATTATTATTGTTAACACTGGTAAGTTATCAATTTGATCACAACCAATCTAAAACAATTTTAAATTAGGAAAAAATCGGCAAAAAAAAAAAAAAAAAATTGATCTTACAATATATTCTCCACCAGGTATAGCAGTACCACCTAGAAGCTCATTAATTTGTTTAATTTTTTCGACTGGTCCAGCAATAAGACTAGTACCAGTATCGGCAATTGCTTGAACAGATCCACTTACGATTGATGTATTACCAATAAGTATCCTATTCAAACACACTCAATAAATATATACAAATATATAACAATTTAAAATACATACTCATCAAGACCAAATTGCCAATAACCATATTTGGTCACTGAAACATAAGTAAAGGGTCCATTATATTTTTCAGGATCAGACCCACCAAATATTATTTCACCGCCTGGACTAGTAGATGGATCTCTTAACATTGAAATGAACATAACATTTGAAAAAAAAATGTAAATATGTTTTACAACTGAATTACTTATGCCCTTACCTATTTAAATAAAATGAAAACACTGGATCCTTTACAATACCCTGTTGTATCATGCGATAAAACGGTGGAAGAACTCCATCAACAGAAATTGTGTTGTACCCTAAACCAAGTATTCCATCAAATTTAGCAGCAACAAAAGCTATACCTGGTTCTTGGATAGCTTCAGCAAAAGTTTGATTCAAAATTGAAATTCCATCCATCTAAATAATTGTTTTATTTTAAGGTTTGAACATTTACTTAAAATAAATTTTATAATATTTTATTAAATTATTTAATCTTATTTAAACACTTATACTAACAGATACAACATCAGTTGAGAGATAACCTGATAAGCTTCCTGACCCATAATGAATTGAAAATTCTGTTCCATTCTTTTGATATGTAGTTGATTTTGCCATATTATACTTATTATGTGTCACTAAAAATAAAAATAATATTTTAAACAGAAATACAGAGATTGTTAAGAATTTCAAATAGAAAACCTAACATGTATGATTATTTTTCAAAAATAGGTAACAATAATGTGTTATTTTAAATTTAATTGTTTATATATTATACATAGTTGTCTCATACAGTTACACAAGTGAACTTATTATATTAATGAGTACTTTATTATAAATATAAATCATATGGTAAGTTTAAAAATTAAATAAAATATATCTTACAGCATGCTATGTTTAAAATACTGCATTGTTTCGATGGCACCCATAAGTTTGATGAACCTGTATCAAACACCACATTGAAGGGCTGAGGAGGAGTTCCAATAGTAATTGGTCCATAATATTGTGCCTAAAGCAAAAATAAAAATTTGACTAATATTATAAATGTTCATACTTATAATAACATAGATCAAGTTAAATGTTATATAAACAATTTATATAACAACAATTAAAACAAATTAATTAAAAACTAAGACACATTTAGTTTAATTAAGCATAATTAAATTAGTGGTGGTTTTTGCAATAATATTTGGCAGGAGAAATGAATATTATCTTATCTTCTTTTTTTGTGTCAATGTAAAAACTAATTTACAGCTAAATTCAAAACCAAGGGGAATCAGACCCTAGAGTTTTGTTAAGTTATTACTTAAAATATAAATTATATTAAAATAATGATCTAATAAATTAAATAATATAAATAGTATCTTAAAATTTAAAAATAAATTGTAATTGTTAATTTAAGAAAATCATTATGCAACAGCAAGAAATAGTTAATAATTATAAAACATGAATAATGTTCAACAGATTATAAGTAGTGCCAATTATGTGGTATAGATGGGTAATTAGTAAAATTAAAATAACAAAATTTTACAACTACCTTCTTCAAATTATTAAATAATAACTGCATCTCATAACTTTAGACTAGCAAATTAATCATGAAAATCTCACTATACCAATAAAGCACACACTTAATAAAATTATTGTACTTAGTCAATATTGTTACTTATTATTGAAAAACCTCTTTGTTTAATTTTTTAGATAACCTACACCTTAAATATTATACAAACGTAGGTATCAAGTCAAAGTCATAAAACAATTGTCATCTTCATTATTCATGAACAAGATAATTGCTTGAAAAAAAAAATAATAACCACAATATTAGTAGATAATAGTCTAATAGTAGACTTATTTTTAAAATTAATGGTAACATTTTTAATTAATATAATACATATACACACATATATTTACATAAGATAAAGGTTGCTGTTTGATATAGATGAAATCTTTGGACGGATCAATTGTAAAATTAAATCCAAGATTTAATAAAATGCAATGAAAACTAAACAGTGTCACAAATATTATAATCTTACATCTAAATAGTTGGACAACACTTCGCTTCTAAGACCGTATCGGTGTACCACTGTTTTGTTTTCCTGTCTGACAAGCGAACGGGCAGTTTCTATTTTTTGCAATTTCACTCTGAAAACAATGTCGATAAACGTGATTAAAACGAAAGTTTGTTTTGGAGACGAGTTCCAACGGCAAACAGAACAATTTTTTTCAGTGCTAACCTGAGCAAACAGTTTCCAACGGAATCGTTGATTGACAGTATCGCGACGAAGGCGATGAGAAACATCATCACCAACGTCTCGTACATACGTATATATGCATTCATCGCGGTAAGAACGAGACGACGAGAAATAAATAACTACGTCGAAGGCGGCTGGAGATGAGCACGTACTGCAGACGTCTGCAGCGGAAAAGCGAAAACTGCAAGTCACTAACGCGCGCACACTAACAAGACCGGACGTGAACGATTAATCGACGAATGCAAAACGAGCAAAACAAAACAAAACGGATTGACGAAAATTGTAAACTATTGACGACCTCTGGCACGAGTCCGTCGGTTAACGTCGACGTTATCAGTGCATTTTTATTTTTTAATTTTTTTCGTTGACTCATAGTTATCAACAGTTCCGATAACAACCGTCGTGTAGAGGGGGATGGGAGTCGCAATTAAAATCGGCCGCGGACCTACCATTTCCTTTGTATATGCTTGGTGTACGACTATACAATAAAATGTATTAAATAAATATCATTAATAATTGTATAACTTAAGTAGGCTGGCATGGATCCAAGGGGGTGGGAATAAAGGGGGCTTGCGCAAATCCCAAATTTCTCAAAAGAGTTTCATACATTGCAAAAAATAACTAATTGATTGTTGATTATTTAAGAACCCTAAACTTTTTGTCTATCAATAGAATAATATAAACAATTTACGTACTGAATAGGTTATAATATTTTGTACATACAAGAGCCACACACTAATAATTGTGTTGTATCTTGTATCAATCGATCAGTGGCATATATAGGTGGGAGGGCTATTGGGCTACAACCCCCCCCCCCGAAATGTTTCAAAAAATTTAAAAATTTTTTAAACGTTTGTTATATTTTAATGGTGCTTTATGCTTATTTAGAATTTGCGTCCAACTGCAAATATAACCATGTACACGTGGTCTGTATTATTATTTTTATTTTTTTGATATTCTTTTTTTTATTTTGACTACCCAGAGAATAAATGACAAAAACTATTTAGTAATATCAAATATGTAATAAGTTATAACATTGATTATAAATGATATTTATAATCAATGGTGATAACCAAGGTGGATATATATTGATATGTTATATGTTATGCAGTGCTTGAAATAGAAAATTTTCTGAACCGGAACTCTATTTTTTTTTTTGGAAACATATCAAAGAATTTGGGGCTTTAACCCCCCAAAATTGTAATTTCCCCTTCCTGAAATACTAAGCCTTTTTTAATACATAAATTGTACCTACTATATTATACTGTTTTAGTTAAAATTATATTTTGGTAAATCATTACTGTTCCTCTCTGATGCTATACATGCTATGTAGAGTGCTATATCCATAGATATTTTATCAGAGTGTAAAATATTTCCAATATTCATAACATTTAAAACTTGTTAATCTATTATCTATTTAATTCGGTAATTCAATAATAGGCCTTTGAGTTTTTCAATTTTATAAATAATTCTAAAAACTTTTTCAGTAGTAGTGAACTTTGATTTCATACTTTCAATAATTTGAATTCGAAACTTTTTTCTATTTGTTTTTCTTTCGATTGTTCATGTAATTCTAATGCTTTAAGATGAGTGTCAGATTTTTTGTGTTCAAATATTTTTTTTTTCTCAAACTAGACATTTAGGTTTCTTTTGACTTTTCATTCGAAATTATAGAACAAGGTTTGGAAAAACAAAGAGTTAAGTCAACAACAGATAATCCTAAATTAGGCGTGATGACGATATTTCGGTAATAACTCAATAGTACCAATCCATTGAGATGATGCTGTTTAACAAAAAGTTCAATAAAATGAAATCAAATTTAATTTATTGTTTATACATATATTTTTTTTTAATTTCTTATTCAGCCAAAAAAATTACAATTAAATAATTAAATTAAAATAAATTACATACATACCTCTTTCATACTGTTTCTGAGGGAGGCAATTATTCCTTTTAAATCAGAAAAAGATCTTTCTGGCGTCGACGTAGAAACAGGGAGATAACACAAAATTTTTAGTAGGTAACATAAATATATTTGGGAATATGATAGGGTCACAACGCCTGATGGCATGTTTAACATACAATAAATATTTTAATACTTCAAAAATAGACTTAAAATTTATATGACAAAATAATTACATTCCTTATTTAAATATAATCAGTACCTAATATTGTAATCTGTATAAAATTTATATTATAAATAATACTTAAATTGTAATCCATTTTACTTTAATCGATCCACTTGAATCAATCGTGGAAAACAAGCTTAACATACAAATGTGGACAATAAGATTAATGAATAAATAAATATACATAAATGAGAAACTAAATCAATCGAAACATATTGCTAGGATATTTATCTAGAACGCGAAACACAAAAATAAAGGAGAATAAGTACCTAAGAGAAAACTAAATGTCCAATTAGTTACTAAATAATTACATATAATAACTAAAATAGCTTATAAATATAAATTATGTATTTATTTGTTATTTATTTATTTTTTTAATTGTATCTATTTTGGTTGTCAAAAATGTCGAAAATGAATAAACTGGTTGTTGCATATCTAGTAAAATATAACTTATAAATTATTATTGCTTTTATTTCTTTTTTGTTATTATTGAATAATAAACCCTTGTATATATTATATTAAGTGTAAAATGTAAACACCTAATTTGTAACCTATAAAAAAAAAAAAATGTTTTTATTATTTTAAGTATAGCATGTAATCAATTTTTATAAATGTCGGTGATTATTTTTCATTAAATTGTGAGATGAAATATATATAAAAAAATTAAAGAGTTAACTGTGGCCTTATTGATATTGTAATTATTAATTTTTATTTTTTAAATCTTGAGTTTCTTAAATTTTCATTTTTTTTATTCTTAAATTATTATTTTGAAATTTTTGGAAATTGATAATTTAATACTTTAATTAAACTTTATAAATGATATACTGATATACACTGTATTTATATTTCATGAGAAATTTAATAATACTCATTCTAGTGTTTATTTATTTAGTGATTTAGGGTATGTTATTGCAACTGAATGCAATTCTCAAGTTAAATAATAGTAATTTTATTGGTAACGGAATTCATTGACCAGATACATTTAGATAATGATAGTTTCCTAAAAAAAAAAACACATTCTAACATGGATTTTAAATAGATATAAAATAAAAGGATGAAAATCAACATTATTATTATGTTTTACCTTTTATTTAGGATTTGACTGTATTTTTCAAAATATAACTTTATGTACATTTAAGTTAGTTATGATTACTTCATGAATTGTAATATTTACAGAACATAATAGTGTGTAAGAAATAAGTTCTATACCATCATAGACCATCATTAGCGGATATCCATTGAAAATGTTGGCGAGGCTACAATTATTTACATAAATCTAAAAAGTGGGGGCTTCGCCTCCACACCCCCTTTAAAGTTCAATTATTTATCAATTATAAACATTATATTCAAATTTTATTTTATTCAAAAAATCTATTTTTTTGTGGCGTACCTTCACACGTTCCACCACAACACTGCCGTGAAGGTGGCGACACTACCGTTGCCCCCACGCTCCGTCACTCGACCGACCTCCATGAGTCGTTCGACCGACTAGACAACGGACTCGAAGCTCGTCATCGACGACCACAGATATACATAATAAACTAGATAGCTAACTTGCCTATGTAGTCCGTATATTTCAATTGAGGCCAACAGTCACCATTTTAAATGAGGCCGGAATACCTTATCAGTTTTCATATATATTGATAACATCATTTTACAATAATACCATAGACATATTAATAAATATGTCTATGAATAATACAGATACATTATTATGTATATCTGTGTCGACGACACTGTTTCTATTGCGTCCCTTTCGCAAAGTTCGTCTCAAAACCACCCTCGACCGACAACCGACTCGACATCCGTTGTCCAACATCTCTACCGTCGAGTGACTTTTTATTATATTCTGCGTCGCGTATCTGTCCGTACTCGATACCGTCGTACGCGACTATTGTGCCGCCTAACTTAGACACACATCCTTTGTACATTATATATTGTATATCTTTGTAAATAAAAACTGTTTGTCATACGACAAAACTTGGTGTTCACGTTATTGAACTGGTGACCTCGCTAAATACATTTTGTTGGCGGTGATAACACGACACCGCCACATTTTTATTGATACTACAAAATTATTGAATGCATAAAAGACAATTAACATATCAATAATTAGGTGATAACAGTAATGGATATTTTACTTCAAAACCAGCATTCTGGAGGATTTTGAGAATTAATTTAAAATATTTTCACTATCAATACTTTTAGTCAGGTCATTTTCAATGCGAAGAATAGATTGGTAAATCGATCTTGGAGCATAGAAATTCTCACCCATGTCTAAATTTTTTGCATAACTGCAAAATTACGCTCATACCTTTAGAGCTAACTTCCAAAGTAAGTGCTACTTGTAGCAATTTGTATAAATTCGGTATAAATTGCTATTGCACCTATTAGGTATATAATATATAAATATTATTATAACGAAAATGTTCTCAATATTTCAAAAAATGTTTTTTAACATTTGCAAACATTTTTGAGGGGGCTTTGCCCACCCCCAAAGCCCTTCTGGATATCCGGAAATTTAGAATATATAATAAAGGTAAAATATAAATTAATTTGGTGAACTACCATATTAAATAATAATAATTTATCAAATTTATCAAATAATCAAATAATTTAAATGCGTACAACAAATTTTTTTTGTACCGTTATAAAATTCATAATGAATATATATCATGTGTATAGTAAAATGGATTATTTCTTTATTTTAAATGGTAAAAAAAAATGTTTTAATTTTTTTATTTATAATTTTGAAGATGCAGTCGAATTTCGCTTATAACGATCTTCAAGGGACCTAGAAAATCAGATCGTTATATTCGAACTTTCTTATATCCGGATGAAAAAAAATTGTTTTTTTTTTTAAATTGATTTATTTAATAACTTATATGTAATTTTTTTTTAAATGTTTTATCATACAAATAGTATAATATATTTATAAAAAATAAAAAGTGAAAAATATTAGAATATATATTTTAAATCCCACTTCATTAAAAAATAGTTTTAAATTTATTTTTTTGAAAAATAATCAGTTCTAGAGCTTTGTCTATAACTAGAACAAAAAGATTTTTCAACATAATCAGCAATGTTTTTTAATGTAATTGATATTTCTGGCGTATTTATATCGTTGTTTAACGAAACAAAAGTACGAACTTGATTAATTGAAAAATGCACTTCCGAAAAATTCGATACGTTATATACAATTTCTTCGGTCTCGTTGTCGGCTTGTTCGTTTTCATTCGCATTTGGATTTAAAATAAAATTGACGATTTCTTCTTCCTTAGGTTCTTCAGTGGTACAAAGAGCAGCGTCAACCTCGACAAAATGTTGCAAGTTTTCTTCAGGAAAGCACTCTGTGTCCAAATCATTGACAATAACTGTTTCTTTTTCTGTTTCGTCGTTCATCGCAACCTGAAACCCAGCGTGACGGAAACAGTTTCTAATTGACGTGTGTGAAGTTAGCCCCCCACTATAAAAAATACTTTCCAAAATAATTGTAACCTTATTTTCTTAATTTGTATTGTATATTACTTAATTAATTTGTATATCTCAATTGGTTACTATTTGTAACCAAATTTTTAGAATTTGTAACCTCATCAATTTTAAGTACCGATGGATTTCCCAAAGAAGATAACTGAATAAAAATATTAAGTTTTTAATTTATATCACCCAGTTCAATCAATTCGTCTAGAACAGATCGTAAATTGAAGAAAATAAATGTTGATTTCAAAGAAAATATAATTTCAGATGACCAAGAAATAGTTGAAGAAAATGAAGATATTCAAAATAATGTTCAATGTCTTAATAATATTTCAAATAATATGAATCACGTGGTGATCGTTTGAATGGGTACTTTTTACCTGGCTTATGTGCTTCTCTTTTTCGGATTACGAAAGATTTTCCTCTCTGGACAAACATGATGGCTAGATACTATAAATCAAAGTATGAAACGGCCACTTCAGCACCAGTCGAAGGATATTTTTCTCATTCCAAAAATTAATTGAGACAATCACTTAGCACTATAGACCGTTTTGTTGGTTTACATTTATTATCGATAGAAGGAGAATTGAAAATGGCCAGATCATTACAAGTTAACAAAAATCAAGATTATAAATCAAAAAATGATTTTAAATCAAACAACAGCAGTATTGATATGATAATGAAACAAATAAGGAAATTTATATAAATAGCGATATAAGTAATGATGTTGAATTGGAATTTTATAGTGATGATGATATTTCTATTAATTCACATTAATCTGATTTAAATATAATGATAACAGATGAACTGATGATACAAGAAAATTGGAGAAATAAAGTAGACCAACCAAACAAAATTAAAAAAAAAATAATAAATTCCAAATGATTATCAAAATATATAAGTCCATGTTCAGATATTCGTCATGTACTAAACACTTCAGGATTACGATCAACTTCATTATCAGTGATATTAAACGGAAATCTTTTACCCGCTGTTAAAGTAAATAAAGAAAAAATTCTGATATTTAACACGTGTGCTTTTGATTCGCTTTTAGTAGCAATAACAGTAAGTTACATCGATAGCAAAAGTTATAAGTTATATATTGATAATAATAAAATTAATCCTTTTATAAGATTATGCAAAGATGTAGCTCTTCATGGATCAACAAGCATTACTTATCAACAACGAGGTAATTTGCTGCTAGATAGTGGATTTTTTAAAAAGTCACCAGTAGAATCCGGAACCTCAATGTTGGACGCAAATATCAATATTATTGCTTTAAGTAACAAGCTTCTTTCTGATATACCTAGCAGTATACAAACATTGGAATGCACCATTTGTACTACAAAAACCGTATTTCATGATGCAACAATAATACTCAACGAATTGTTAAATAGTAGTGGACACTTAGAAGATATAAATAAATATGTTATGAAAAAAAAAAAAGAAAAATGGTGTCCAAACTGCAAAAAAATAAGTAGAAATTCCAAAAGAGTATTGCAGGAACATATTTTATTGGAAACAGACGTATTTAAAGATAATACGATAAATGAAAATAAAATTTTGGTCAATGATATACAATCAAAGTTGTTTTTTGAAAAAGAAAGGTAAACATTTAAATGTTAATAATAACTATTCGTATATAATGTAGGAGGTAATTTATTATACATATACTAATACTATAAATAATTTATTATTTAGGTTTTCACCAAAGTCAATAATTTCATACATTGGAGATTCAGATGTAAAAAACATGGGCCACTACGTAACACCCTGCAAACGTGTTAAAGGTTATTGGGAAATACATAATAACTTGGTAAAAAAAAGAACAAAATATAAGTGTACAGAATCCAAATATGTAAAACCACATCTATTATTTTATATAAAAATATCAGATTAAGTATGTTAGATTTGTAAGCGTTTTAAAATTTAATTAATTTTTTTTCCCGAAATGAATTTTTTTATTTATTTTTGTAAGGCTCTAACAGGTGTATATTTATATTAAAAAATAATTTTAATTAATAATTTTAATAATACAAAGAAATATTTACATTAATCTACTTAATAGTTTATTTTATACTATTAAATTTTAATGAATGTAAAGTGGCTTCTTATAATAAGTTACGAGCGGTAACAATTTATTACCTATGTTCATAAATTGAATATGTTATAAAACATATTTTATTTAAGATTTTAGCCTAATCGAATAAAAATAAAAGTAAAATTCTAGTTAATTAAGACATATTTATTCAATCTAGATTTTGTTTTTATTAAATATAGATTTATTTTCTTCAACTTACAATATACTTACGAATTAATAATACGATAACTTGCGAATTAATTTAATTGGGTGATATTATAAATTACAATCTTAACTTTTTTATAAAGATATCTACTTAGGGAAATCCATCGGGATTCAAAATTGATGAGGTTACAAATTCTAAAAATTGATTACAAATAGTTACGAATTAAGAAAATAAGGTTACAATTATTTTGTAAAGTATTTTTATAGTGGGGAGGGGCTAACTTCACACACGTATTTAAATCATTAATAACCCTGTCTATCCATTTACCAAGATGTCTGAAATGTGCTTTATTTCACATAAGCATTTACTACTATGTTGATATTCAATATTCAAATTAAAAAAAAAAAAAAACTATGAACAGCTGAAAGGATTTTTTTCAGGTTTAGCCGAATGATGTTTTTCTATTTTAATATACATCATAGCATACATTCAGAACTAAAAATCCTCTAAAATTTTTCATAAAATAGTAAAGGAAAATGTTGTTATCAAATTTAAATTGCAATATATGAATGTATAATATAACGTGACCCACACATATCGAGTATTAAGATATTATCGAAACAATAATGTTAAAAAGAATTGAATTAAAATAAAGTTAGGGGGTTATTATACAGGAACTGTTCAATAATTGTAATCAAACTTATCCGAACGATCCTCAAGTCTTTCAAAGTCGATCCGGTTATTCGGTGGACGGATCAGGCGTTTGGGTACGTTCACCTGCACAGTATTCCGAACCGTTTCGTCTTTCATCGTGTTCAACGGATGTTTCCGAAGCCGTTCGATAGTATCGTCTCCTGTACGAATATTCGGCTCTTGCGACCGTTTCTTGTCCGCCGCTCGTAAGGTACTTGCGGCCAGAATACGCTGGATGGAAACGCTTGTTTTCCGGGTCGAACATTTCCGAACGCCGCAAAGGTATGGTCATACCCGACGATTCACTGGACACACTAGCATCGTCACCGTTGTCATTTTCATTTACTTCAGACTTTTCTGACGCCGAACGATAATCTCTCGATTCCTGATTTTCATCGGCGATTGACGATGGTGTCGTTGACAACGCGTTACTCCATTCGTCGAATTCGACAGACGATTCCGAAGCCGTTGGATAGAAATGATTCTCGTACGAGTACTGGCGCGAAGGTATGGTCATTGCTGATGTTCCGCTGGACACTGATGGGTCACTTTCACATCTATAGATGTCACAAAAATCTTCGTTTTCTCTCGCTTGTTCGGATGCCGGTAGATAACGTTTGTTTTCGGTGAATATCTGACCGGCTCTCGATTCAGTAGTCTCGACGCCAACGGATGCTTCGAATGAATTGAGACTTTCTTCGCCACGTTTGACTAAGTCCGGTTGATAAAATTCTGCACGTTTTTCCGATTGTTCGGAAGTTGGTAGATAACGATTGTGTTCAGAGGTTGTCAGACAATCGACTCTTGTTGATTCTTCCGACTCAATGCGTAGTTCAGTTGAACTGGGATTATCTTCATCGTGTTCAACTAGGTCATTTAAAGCCGGTTGATGAACGTCCATACGGTTTTTTTTTCGTAATCGTACCGCTCGCACCCCTTTAACGAGGGCACGAACTTTTGTGTTGATGGATCGAGCTAATCTTCTGAAAATTTTCATTTTGCAAAATTTTAATCGAAATCGTAAAAGTGCAAGTAAATACTCAAAATGTCACAAAATGAAATGATTTAACGTTCGCCTTTATTAATCTCTAGGCAACAGTTATAATAGATAATGTCCAAATATTGAAAGGTATTCTAATTTTTATTGTTTGAAACCTGCTATTTTTTTTCGTATTGCCAAAATTATACTAATAATATTCAAATTTAGATGCATCCAGTAGAATTTATATTATAAATTAAATTTATGTGATTAACTTTTTAATTTTTCTCGATAAAGTGAAATCACATTATAAATTAAAATTAATAAAATAATAGGAAATTAATAAATACTGATTGGAAGAAAATTGATTAGGTAACATTACGGGTACTCACAAAATGTGTAAAATTTTATAGTTGTAAGTATCTAGTTTTTATACTGAAAATCTCGAATTACTCGAGTGTAATGACTAAAACTAGTGTGTTCAAGGTATTTTAATTTTAATTTTAAACATTCATAAAAAATAATTACGTCTATGTGATTAATGCAATTTAAACGCCACATAATGACATACAATTTTTAAAAAAATAATAAAAATATAAATTACATAATAAAAGAAAAACAGACGCAGTATTATAAATCGAATTGGTATCACATTATAATTGTGAAAAAAATAAAACGTTAAAACGAAGAACACTTGTGCTGCACGGCTGGATATCAATCACGTACTGTGACGTATCTATTAAGTATGAATTAAATCATCACCTCCGAGTTTTTTGAGTAGCTATTAAAGATAATAAAGTTCAAAACTCACGCTAGGTGTTTGTATAAAGTAGACGATATTAATAAAACGTTGGAATTAAATTTTCTTAAGATATTTCAAGAAAAAACATAAGGAAGTGGGTTTTCATTAGATAGTATAGATGGCATAATAATGAACATAAACGTATACAAACCTTTAGGAGGTTCTTCATATAGTTCGTTATCCGCATTTATAGAAAATAAAAAAAGTAACTATTAATATTCGTAATACCGATGATGAATGTTTTAAGTAAAGCATATTGGTGAAACATATTAACTCTGTTCACCTCGAAAGATTAACTCATTACACAGAAATACAGGACAGATATGATTTTTCTAATTTAAATTTCCCTGCCACACTAAATGATATTAAAAAAATTGAAAAAAGAAATGAAGTATCTGTCAATATTTATAGTATAAAACAGGGTGAACCAACATATACAATTAATGTAAGAAAAATGTCGGAAAAAAATGTTATCGAATCGAAATTCAATAAAAATATACAAAACATCCAGTAAAAGTATGCAATGACAAATTAAACGATTATCACGACTTATTTTTATTCAATGATGGAACTGGCAGGCAACATTATTATTGTATAACTAATTTGGAAAAATTAGTCGGTGCCCAAATATCGCGGAATGGATATACCACATTGTTATGTGAGCGATATTTCAAATCATATTTCGGGGTCAGCCGTTGGGGGTTTCGTCAATTGCGCCGAATTTGGGACACTACCTGTATAGTATACATCTATTGCGCCGGTATAAAAAAGGTATATTAAAAAGGTATACATCTATTGCGCCGGTATAAAAAAGGTATATTAAATAGGCATACATCTATTGCGCTGGTATTAAAAAAGTTATATTAGTTAAAAGTAAATAAAAATAATTTACATACTTATATATATTACATACAAATTTATCTTTCTGATGAAGTGCCTTGAATCTTAATCTCAATCTAAAAAAATTAAATTAAAATTAGAAAATGTAGATATAAAAATAGATTTATATTTAATTATCTTATAATCATTTTTTGTAGTGGTAGCTTATTCGTTGTACAAATTCAAACATATCTAAATTTCCATTTAAATACTTGGATATATTATCTTCAACCATGATTTTTTGTTTTTTATTCTTATGATTTTTATTCGTACAGCTTAGAGTTGCAACTTTTGTGTGCGCACCGCCATTTATGCCCTTTTTTCGTAAGTTCCTTGTAAGAAAATTTATAATTTTGATAAATAATTAGTTCTTTACCACGTTCACTTAATACTATTTCTATTATAAATTTAAGCACGAGCCACGACAACTATACGAACGACTGTACGAACAACGCGTGGAATTGTACTGCACAATACTATGGATTTACCTATAACCTAACACGGTATTTGTCAACATTTTGTAATTTGTTTTATCTTCAAGTAATACAATAATATAATTCAAACTTACCTATGATATAGATAATATATTAGATTAAAACACGTAAAAACCGATATGTAGTTATAATAGAAATAGTATTATAGACGTTTATATATATATTTAAGAATCGATCAGCGTAATTGACGTACACCATTTATTACATTAAAATATCGATCGGCGCAATTGACGTACACAATTTATAACATTGGAATATCGATCGGCACAGTTGATGTATACCTTTTTTCTATTCCATAATTTTTCTTTCTTTACCCGCGATTTTCGGCGCAATTGATGTATGCCCAGCCGTTGGGGGGTTACCGCTGAACAACGGCTTAAAGATCATAAAATGAATTATAACAAAAAAAAAAAACCAATTGTACCGTTAATACCTAATTCAAATCCATTTATAAAATTTGAAACAGTTCGTGTTTAACAGCCGACCGTGCAACACGTGTGCTTATCGCATTGTACGTTTTATAGCTTTTCGATAGCACAATAATCACGTCGACATTTGGAAAGGTAATATGCTTTAATTAATACTTAGCCTATCTGCCCATATCTACGCCATGAATAGAAATCCAACGGGCATTTCGCCTAAAAATCCCACACATAATCGTTCAAATACATCTACTTCTAATATTTCTTACCCCACACTCAAAACCAAAAATGTTTCCTCACCATCTACTAATTCAACATCATCTTATAAATCTTCATATAATACTACGTCGTCTCTTCAATCAAACAAAAACATAGTAGTGACAGGCACCGACCGTAATACTCGCTGCCCCACCACCTCAACGACTAATCATACTACACGCATCGCAATCAAGACTTCTCCTCTACCCACCACTCTAACCACACCGTCCAGCGATAACACGCTCATCGCAGACACTATCGTTCCTCACATAAATATAAATACATCCACTAATGACCAACCGATTAACTCCTCATTAAATACTACGAACAATAGTATAAATTTCGCATCTGCTGTCGCTATGGAAAAGACGCCTAGCCGCGAAAAAGCCTTAGTCTTCAATTCAATTGATGGTATACCTCAAAAAGAGTACATACTTGCAATTGGAAAAATTGTCTCCCCAAAAAATATTACATTTATTTCTAGAATTTCAAACAACCGCTTCTGTGTCTTCTTGTCCAGCAAACAAATACTTGATAATTTAATGCAAACAACACAATCAATAAATATCAACGACCAAAATATACCAATACGCAGATTATTAAACCCGGCCAAAAGATTCATTATATCCAACGTATGCCCTTCTATACCCAACCAAGCAATTACCGACACCCTAAAAAACATAGATATATTGCCCATATCTCAAATTAACAACCTCAAAGCTGGAATCAATATTGAAGGGTACGAGCATATAATGAGTTTCCGTAGACATATATACCTCAAACACGAAGACATTCCCAAACTCCCAAACTCGTTATTAATTACACAAAATGAGTCACAATTTAGAATCTTTTTCACTGACGATAAAATTACTTGTTTTTTATGCAAAGCTACTGGCCATACTACAAACAATTGTAAAAATAACGTTGATGATAAATCAAAAAATATGCCCATACCATCTAGTCCAAACAAATTAAACAAACACGAAGACCCGCCTATAAACCATACCGAATTAATGGAAAATACACCCCCTCCCACTAGCCCACAGCTTGATACACCTTTTGAAAAAACCGAAACTGATTGGATCGAAGACACTGAAGAAAACAAATTTTTTTCTTCAACCCTAAATCATCCCAATGATACACTGTCACATACCCCCAATGAAACACATAAAAGAATGATGTCAGATTCATCGTCAACTAAACTCCTTGACTCCCCAAATATATTATTATCTTCATCCACTAACACTAAAAATGAAAAAACTATCAAGAAACCTAAAATACAATCCCGATCAAATTCTTCTAGCAGTCTGGATACAAACTTGGACGAAAATTTAAAACCTACTATCGAATACTTTACCACAAATGGCTCCTCACCAATCACTTACATACAATTTAAATACATCCTGGACAATTTCAACAACAAAGCAATAAATATCCACGCACTGATTGAAAACACAAACTCAGATATACCAACCGTAATGGACATAATCGAAAAAATTCGTCCAAACATAAAAGTCAAATCACTGAAATCACGACTAATAAAACTTTCAAATTTACTTTTTCAAACCCAACCTCTCAAATAAAGTTTAATCCAAATCTGAACACGCCCAATAAAACAAAACGAAAAATCACACAAACCTTAACTATATATTTTCTGTTATTGCTTACCATGGATAATATCATTCAATGGAATATAAACGGCTTAGCCAAACACAATATCGATATTCACCGATTAAAAGCCCTCCAACCAACCACCCTCTGTTTCCAAGAAACAAATTTACGACCTAATACCACCTTTACCATAAAAGGATACAAAGGATTTTTCAAAAATCGCCAAACACATCTCCGTGCAAGCGGAGGAGTAGCAATTTTCGTCAACAATCTCATTGATAGCACCGAAATTCATATCCAATCTCCATTAGAAGTTATTGCTATCACTTTACACCTCAAAACTCCCTTATGTATTTGCAACATTTATTTACCTGATAGTACTAATCTTTTGCTTAATGATCTAAATGATATCATCAAACAATTACTCAAACCATTTCTCTTTCTCGGCGACTTTAATAGCCGAAACCATATCTGGGGATCTAATCTTACTGATCCCAGAGGTAAAACCATGGAAAAATTCTTAGAAAATGATCAAATAACATTACTCAACACCGGGGAATATACACGCCACAATGCAGCCTACAACTCCTTCTCGGCCATTGATCTCACAATATCAAACAGTGCTTTCGCTCCTAAAACCGATTGGAAAGTCCTCACAGAATACAGCACCAGCGACCATTGGCCTATCTCCATAAAAATCCTTGACGAATCTCCTAAAATCCACCCACGCTCCCGATGGTGCCTCAAAAATCCAAATTGGAACTTATACAGTGATATTATATCACAAAATCTTATTGAGAATCCAATTAATCTTCATCTCGCAACGAACTAAACTCAAATTAACTTGATCATTGACAAATTCTGCAATATTATATTAGAAGCCGCTAACAAGACTATTAGAAAAACAAATACACAACAAAAAAGAAAAAAAGTTCCCTGGTGGAATAAAGATTGTAATGACGCAATTAATTTATATAAACAAGCATTAAACAGATTAAAAAAAAACCAAACTAATGGCTGACCATATAAACCTAAAAAAAACACGTGCCCAAGCTAGATTTATTACAAAAAAAAGTAAAACTGAATCGTGGCAAATTTACACCAACTCAATAAGCTCCAATACATCTCCAACTGAAATGTGGAATAAAATTAAATCCATCAAGGGCATAAATCACCAACCACTTCCTCCCAATCTACTTTCCAACAATAATACACTCACACTTCCTTCAGATATAGCCGAAGCTTTCGCACTTCATTTCAAAAAAAATAGTGACTGCACTAATTATGACCCAGAATTCATAAATTTCAAAAATACTGTTGAAGATAATCTCAAAATTGAACTTGAAACCAATTTCCTCCAACACGACAACCACCTTAATGCGCCATTCAATCGAAATGAATTCTTCAATGCCTTATCTGGATGTAAAAGCAAAAGCCCCGGTCCTGACGAAATACCTTTTTCTTTTATACAAAACCTCCCCACAATAGGTCATGATCTCCTCCTCCAAATATATAATACCATTTGGGACAAAGGTATTTATCCTGACCAATGGCATAATGCGATCATTATACCAATTCCTAAATCAAATAAAAACAAATTCAATATTATCAACTACAGACCTATTTCTCTTATTAATACGCTTGCAAAAACCATGGAAAAAATGGTCAATAAACGATTCATTTGGCATCTAGAAACATCCAACTTAATAACTAAGGAACAATGTGGTTTCCGCAAAAACCACTCGACTATTGACATACTCTCCACTCTCCATACTGATATCTGTAATGCGAAAAATCAAAAACAACACCTCATACTAATATCTTTAGACTTAGAAAAGGCCTATGATATGGAATGGCGAAATAGAGTCCTCAAAATCATCCAAAAAAGTGGCATTAATGGCAAAATGTTTCTATTCTTACAAAATTTCCTAAATGATCGCAAAATTCAAGTCAGAGCTCACGCAGAACTATCAAAAATTCACCAAACTGAAAACGGACTCTCTCAAGGATCTGTTATCAGTGTTACTATGTTTTTATTGGCCATCAACGACATTTTTAAAAATATTCCAAAACCCACAAAACACTTATTATTCGCCGATGACTGTCACATTTACTGCAGCGGACAAAACATCATAACAACAGTAGAAACACTACAAAACTCACCTAATCTACTCCAAGACTGGTCTCATAAAACCGGATTCAAATTTTCTGCTAGCAAAAGTCAATGTATTAGCTTTCACATTAGTCCTAATGCAAACATACAATTATATCTTAAAAATTCGCCGATACCCGTTTGTAAAACACTCCGCATACTTGGAATGATATTCGACAACAAACTTAAATGGACCCCCACACATAAAAAGACTCAAAAGTACCTGCAAAATCAGAATGAACATTATTAAGTCACTTTCCCACCATACATGGGGAGCCAGCATGAAATCACTCAATATAGTTTATAAATCTCTTATATTATCCCAAATACATTATGGCTCTCAAATCTACATTACAGCCAAAAAAAATCTCTTAAAAATGTTAGACCCAATCCATAACGAGGGAATTCGTTTATAAGCCTTCAGAACCAGCCCCACAAACAGCATTTTATGCCATGCTGGAGAACTTCTCCTCGATTTACTCAGAGAAAAAGAACTCTTAAAC